CGCATCAGAAACAAACAGCAAAAAAAAACCCTGAGGCACCCGCAGTTGCGTTTGATCACACAGTGGCAGGCTGTGCCCGCCGCTTCCAAGGACTGTGTGATTGCGCAACTGCGGGTCAAATTTCTCCAGAGGAAATAGCCTCCCTTCCCCCCTGCTTTATCTCACGTGTGTGACCGCCCCCTCCCCGTGTTTGAGTCCAGTGGCACCTTTGAGACCAACAAAGTGCTCATGCACATGAAAGCTTATGCCGAGAATTAAACTGTGTGGGTCTTAAAGGTGCTGCTGGACTCAAATTTTGTTCTCTCTGTGTGTGTTTTTTTTAAACTAATTAAAAACTTTGTTCTCTCTATTGATGTTAGCCACTTGGGGATTGGTGGAAAGGCAGGATATAAACACAACAAAGGAAGAAAGGGCGCCCTTCCATATGTGGCACCCCAGGCTAGAGAGTCTCTCCCCCTCTCATTGACTAACCAGCACATTGAAAAGGCAAGGAGCAACCATATTTCTGTGATGTTTGACCTCAGTTTAATTCTAAAAAGCCACTTTTGGAAGCTCAACTTGGCAACACTGAGACCATGGACAGTGGGAACCTCATGCCTAGGATGAAGGGCCAGGGAGGGCAATTACATGAGACTGAAAAAACAAAGCGTGTCGGACAAAGTGTATCAAATGTACATGTTTTCTAGTTCTTTCTCAGAATGACACCAATTTCTCATTAGAACTTCGACTGTTTGCTTTAGACCTACACCTTTAGCATACAGTTGCCTCCTTAGAACCACCACCACCCTGCTCCTTGGTAGCATAAGGGAATCTGGGCCTTGCTCCAAAATTAGGGTTTCCAGCCCAGCACCAGTAACTGGTGGGAAACTGGAGGGTGGGTTAGAGGGATGTCACGGCTCAGGTGGGGGGGGTCACCTGACACTGCCACCACTCTGGTTCCAGGCTCCCTTGAGAAGGCCCAGAGCACCCTCCCAAGACCTTCAGACCTCCCTTTTAGCTGAATAATAGGTGTGAGGACCAGGCAGAATACAACAAGGAAAACAGTTTATTGTATAGGAGGTCAAAGAACAAGGTGCAGAATAATAACAGTAAGTGGGTGAAAAGAAAATAGATCAAATGCCCTACCGCTCACTATTCCAACTGGCACTAGACTACTCACCCTTCCCTCAGGATGAGGGTCTCTTCCCCACAGCAGCCTCTCCTGGCCCTGTTCTCTGGGAAGAAGAACAGCTTTTCCTGCTGCTCCAGATCTTTTATTCCAAGCCCTCCTCTTTTCCTATTGGTCAATTTTGGCTACAAAACCTCTCAGGGGCTTCTGGGAGTTGTAGGCTCAGCCTCATCTACTGCTAGTCAGGCTCCCTGGGCCTAGTAGGCCTCTGGTGGCACAGCCCAGATAATGACAAGGGCGTTGTACAATACCACAACATCACTTCTGGATAATATCCACACCATGGGGAAATGTTTTGTTTTTTTTAATCACTGGGGCATTGGTGGCCTATATTCATCTTCATGTAGCTATGCATCTTTGTACAGTTACCATGGAGTGTAAAATGGATATTTTTCAGGACTCATCTTTGGGCAGCATTACTGTATCTAATGTAAAGGTAAAGGTTCCCTTGCTCGAAAGCCAGTCGAGTCCGACTCTAGGGTTGCGGTGCTCATCTCCGTTACAAAGCCGAAGAGCCAGCGCTGTCCAAAGACGTTTCCGTGGTCATGTGGCCGGCATGACTAAACACCAAGGTGCACAGAATGCTGTTACCTTCACACCGAAGTGGTACCTATTTATCTACTTGCAATTTCTTGCTTTCGAACTGCTAGGTTGGCAGGAGATGGAACTAGAGACAGGAGCTCACTCCGTCATGCAGCAACTCGGGTCTCGAACTGCTGAACTACCAACCTTCCACAGCCTGCAGTTCAGCGTCTTAACCACTTGAGCCACCGCAGCAGACATAATAGCTAGAAGCAAAACCAGGCCATTCAAATGCAAGGTGGGGGTTTACTCATGGGACCCCTCAGGTACAGTGAAAAACATGACTTTGTAAATTAGTTCAAAGGGGGGGGGCCCTCAAAACAGCCTGAGCATGATCAAGGAGACACAGAAAGTTGAGAGTCAGTTAAAGCAGAAAAATGGGGGAGGGGGCACAATTGGCTTGCTCAAGCCCATATGAGCTTATAGAATCCTTGTGTGTGAGAGTGATAGGATTGTCAGGTCGCCTCCAGCAAGGGATGGGCGGGTAGGGTTGCCATCCCCAGGTCGGGAAACTCTTGGGGCTTTGAAGATGGAGCCTGGGGAAGGACAGGGACCTCAGTGGGGTACAATGCCACAGAGTCCACCCTCCAAAGCATCCATTTTCCCCAGGGGAACTGATCTCTGTAGCATGCAGATGTGCCATAATTCCAGGAGATTCCCCAGGCCCCACCTGGAAGTTGGCATCCCTAGTGCGTGGCATTTCCAAACTGTTGACCCCTCCCCTCACTGCTCCCCAGTTTGTCAGCTGCTAATCCTTCGCTAACTTCTAAGATGGGCGTCACCCTCTGGAACACTTCCCAGGTCAGAACCAGAATCGTTTCCATCAACGGCAATGTAAAAAGCGTACTTACTTTTTCGGCCGGTAGTCCGGAATGGACCTGTCCAGGGAAATCCTGTCACTCAGTTGGGCGTTGTAACCATACTCTTCATACTTGGTTTCAGATTCATGGCTGTCGTCTCTCAGGGTAGCAGCCATTCCTCCTTGTCCCAGTCCTCCAGGGCCTTCAACTAATCCCATTGGTTTGGCTAGACCTGGAGAGAAAAATACAAGAAATACATTTCTGTGAAAACTTGTCTTACAGCGGACTTTCCCGCAGGCCCGTAGCTACAGTGGGGGCATCTCGAGGCCTCTCCCCCTGACTTACTGCCAAGGCCACCCGACTTCCCATCCAGCACAGGCGCTCCCTCGGGGTGTGTGTATGCAGGGGTGTGCGCAGGGGCCCCCCTGACTTATTTAAAGTCCCCCGAATTAAAAAAAAATCCTGGCTACAGGCCTGCTTTCCTGAAACCCTGTTAGCCGAGGCACAGTTTCCTCCTCTCGGTTAAAAGCAGAGGCAAATCTCATCATTCCGTCCAGGAAAAAAAGTTTAAGAATGTAGAAGAGTAAGAAAGATTTCATCCACAAAGCAGGTTGTTTCGGCTTAAAAGGAACAGTGTGAACAACAACAACAACAAAAAACCCTCATTCAGAGGGGCAATGGGCAGCCTCCTTAGGGAGCAGCTAGTTCTGCTACAACTCTGCAGCAGGAGTGATGGAACACCAACAAACGTGCCAACATTACCCACCCGCAGCTGAGGGTGATTCAAAGGCGAAAATCTGTAAATCACGCTGAGCAGGCAGCCTCCTCGGTGGGTATGTGGAGTGCGGGGGTGGAGCCGAAAATATCCACAGGCGCTATTAATTGCTTAATTTATTCCTGGCAACACACAAATGGCCCTCTCAGTGTGCACGCTTCAGACCAGTTACTCGGACACTGGGAACAAGCCAGAATTTGCTCATAATGTGAACCATCAAGAAAACGTTGGGCTGCACGCTTCCCCTCCAGCCCGGACTTTGTGCTCCACACTGACATTGAGGACTTTTTGGATACAAGCTCCTCATTAACAAATCATAGTTTACTTGTGATGATTTGAGGATGAGGAGGATAAACCACTGTCAAATCACAGCCGACACATGGTGACCCCCATGGGACTTTCCAAGCTACAGATGAGCAGAGGTGGTCTGGCATTGCCTGCCTCTTAGGGTTGCCAAGTCTGATTTTCACTGCAGCGGGGGACTCCCGGCTGGTGGCTGGAGTGCGCGCTTGCACGCCGCATCCACGTCACTCAGAAGTGACGCGACCACGCCAGGCACGCTGGGGGTGGGGCCACGACCATCCAAGGGAAAACCATAGAGTTTTCCCTCGGATGACCGTGGCCCCGCCCCCAGCGTGCCCAGCATGGTCGCGTCACTTCCGGGTGACGTGCGCATTGGGGTGGGGTTCCCCCCGGGGCCCGATCTGCCGGCTGCGGGGAACAGGCCTCTGGGGTGGGGGTTTCCCCACCCCGCAGGGGGACTTGGCAAGCCTACTGCCTCTGCATAGTAGCCCTGGACTTCCTTGGTGGTCTCCCATCCAAGTATTCAGGCTGCTAATTATTTTTTTACTGTTTAGCAATTACAGCCAGTTTGGCGTAGTGGTTAGGAGCGTGGACTCTGATCTGGGAGAACCGGGTTTGATTCCCTACTCGTCCACATGCAAGTGCTGGCGTGACCTCGGGTCAGTCATAAATTCTCTCAGAGCTGTTCTCTCAAGGGCAGTTCTCTCAAGAGCTCTCTCAGCCCCACCTACCTCACAGGGTGTCTGTTGTGGGGAGGGGGAGGGAAAGGAGATCGTAAGCTGCTCTGAGACTCCTTCAGGTAGTGAAGAGAGGGGTATAAATCCAATCTCTTCTTCTCAATTAACGTTTTGGAAGGCCAAAGTAGGCAAGGTAGTGAAAAACAATTGGTCAGATTTCCCATGTATTTCTAAAATATAGGAGAGCATGCATCAGATTAGAGCACAGCAAAGAGGTCTGGGTATTAACCCTTCTCCCAGTCTCACTCGCTTGTTTCGAATCAGCAAATGATGACTGTCGTGTTTCAGTTCTTTACGTGTTCATTCTTTTCCCAACCTTTTCATTTGTCTTCCTGTTCATTTCCAATGTGTTACTTCGTTTCTGTTTCTTGAATGTGAAAAAATCTGTATGCATTATACACATTTGTTTTAGACGTTTGGGACCGACACATAGCACTAACAGCGAGAAATTCACTTCCAAAATGTTACCCAAAATTTTTTAGAGATGTATTTTTCCCAATGGAAAATACTGTGAACACATAGAAAATATGAAAGGCTGTTTCGAAATTGTACTTGTTCAGCTTTGGTGCATTGCAGGTACAAAAACAGGTATTTTGGACTCAATGCAAGAGAACATCAGATCCTGGATCAGATCGGTGTCGCACCTAGTCCTATTTTATTTTATTTCATTTTATTTATTTATTTAGATTTATATCTCCCCCCCCCCCTTCCCGTGAATGGGCTCAGGGCAGGTTACAACAATTTACAACCAGTAAGCAATTAAAACAATAAACATTAAGCAATAAAAACAGTTAGAACAGTTAAAAGATGGGCATAGCAGCAATCAGGGCTCTTTTTGTAGAAAAAGTCCAGAAAGAACTCATTAGCATAATAGGGCACACCCAACAGCAGGAACTCATTAGCATATTGGGCCACACCCCTGACAGCACAGCATATTAGCATATTAGGGCACACCCCCATGTTACCAGAAGTGTGGTTATCCAGCCACACCCACCTTTTGCTTGTTATTCTATTTACCTTCTTTGTTGTCAAAACCCAGGGCTTTTTTGCAGCAGGAACTCCTTTGTATGTTAGGCCACACACCCCTAATGTAGCCAATCCTAATGAGTTTCTGCTGTTGAGTGTGGCCTATTATGCCAATGAGTTCCTGCTGGGCGTGGCCAACTTGGGAGCCAGCCGGAACTCCGTTCCTGTGCGTTCCTGCCCCAAAATAGCCCTGGCAGCAATTACATATTCAGTAATTCTAAACTGGGAATAATGGGGTCGCAGCCGAGCTATAAAGATCTTATCAGTAGCAGTCTATCAGTAGCAGAAACTGTAGCGACTGAAGCTGGGAGGCCAATTAATGGACACTCACCCCCTCACCCAAAGGCCTGGTGGAACAGCTCCCTTTTGCAGGCCCTGCGAACCTGTACTAGGTCTCGCAGCACCCTGATCTCGATGTTCCAACAGTAGCCAACCAGATGTCCACGGGAAGCCTAAAAGCAAGGCATAAAAGCCAAAGTTTTCTGGTGCAGGTATTTAGAGGTACACTGCCTTTGAATGTGGAGGCTCCATTTTGTGATCATGGTGAATACCTTCAGACGGACCTCTCTTTCACAAATGTATCTAATCCCCTTTGAAAACCCATTAAAATATCATCCATCATTACATTCTGAGCCATCAAATCACAAGAAAATGTACCCCCTAATTTAAAGGCCCTCTCAAAGTTGTTATATGCACCTGGGGAAGAGAATGCTTGATTCCCAACTTCCTCTTCCCCAGTAGCTTGACTCCGGTACAATTTGGGTCACGCTTGCGCACCCGCACACAAAACCCTCTTCGGTGGCTATCTTTAGATCCGATCATGGATTTCTGACTGTCTGGTTGTCTTGTGCTCTTAAAAAGCCATCAGTCATATCCTGCAGTTACAAGTGATGGAAATATTATAGCAAACCACTATTATTTAGCTTTTCAATCAAGACTGACTCCCCAAGTCACACACAGCAATTAAAATATATCATAAAGGACAACAGAAGATTCTAAAATATGCAGACATGAAAGATGATATTATAATGGGAGAAGGAACAGATTTTTCTTTTTTTGGCCATCAAGTCACAGCCAGCTTAGGGTTTTCAAGGTAAGAGATAGTTCAGAGATGGTTTGCCATTTCTTGTCTCTGCATCACAACCCTGGTATTCCTTGGTGGTCGCCCATCCAAATAATAGATAGGGCCAACCCTGTTTAGCTTCCAAGACCTGATGAGATTGGGCTAGTCTGGGCTATCCAGGTCAGAGCTAAGGAGCAGATAAATAAGCTAAATTTTATTTAGTTTTTTTATTATTTGAGGGTGGCCAAAGGGGACCCCCTCCTTTGATTTTCACCAGTGGAAAACCTGGTTGGAGCCAACACATGATTTCTTTTGTGCATCAGCCTATCATGTGCTTTGCCCATCTTTCCTCCAAGTACCTCAGACTGCCATACATGGTTCTTCCTTCCTCATTTTATCATCACAACAACCCTGTGAAGTAGATCAGTCTGAAAGAGGTTGACTGGCCCAAAGTCAGCCAGAGAGCATCCTAGCCCTAGTCCTGCGTCTCCTGACAATTTCCAGGGGCATTTGGTTAGAGACTCGCTTGCACTATCCCCCTCTTCAACCACCCTCCTTGGACTCCAAGGAAGTCCTAGCATGACCAAAAAATATCTGCCTAGAACAGGTGCAGGACTGATCATGTGCACAACGGCAAAAGCTTGGAAAAGATTTTCAGCGCATGGACGTTGAGACGACCTAATCACATTCATAGTGAGAGATAGCTGTCCAGACTGGCGAAACTGCGAACTCACAGTGCAAATATTCGGAAAGTACTTGATTTTCCCGGTGTTGGAAAACTCACTAGGAAACCGGGAGGATTGCGGGGGGAGTCTGCTTCATAGACAGATGCGGCCATCTGATCATCCCTTTTAAATGTGATAGGGAGCAGTGGTGAAACTCAATCAAAATAACAGTGTGACCACAGCCTATTAGAGTTGTATATAACCTCCATCCCTGACATTTTTTGCTTGGCTCCACCTCCCGTGGCAGCCATTTTGTGACTGGCTCTGACTTCTGTGGCAGCCATTTTGTGATTGTGCCCTCCACCTTCTGTCAGAATTCCAAAGGTGCCCACAGGAACTAAAAGGTTGGGAGGCCCTGCACTAGAACATTTCTGTTCCACACTTTCTCTGGGAAGAGTCCCTGTGATGGAGAAGAGGATGTCCTACCCGAATGAAAAAAGAGCCACTTGGTTGAGCCTATGGGAGTGCTGCTCCAGCATCCAATCGCCTTTCTCAAGGGATATAGAATGTTGAAGGGAAGCACAGCTGAGTTTGGAGCTCAGTTCTGCCTCCGGGAGAGAGAAGTGACAGCTCAGGTCTGGAAAAGAGCCAGCAAAGCGAAGG